GTAGAGAGGGAGAATTAAAGCTTCATAAGACTATTTTTCGTGTTTGCCCTTTTAAAGTTGCAATGCAGTTATCCACCAGAAGAGGGTAGTATTTACATATTGTATGTAATAACGATCTGTACAGAATGAATACATTTGAATTGTTTAATTAATAATTAAAAACGACTAATGGAATAGTCAGCCTTTATCACAAAAGAGCTGGAATACAAAGTGATAGAAATTATAATTCCCTCATATAAAGCACTAATTATTCCCCATTTCTAATGTTGCATAATTCTGAGCACACACCTCAATGCCAATATATTTTTCTTGGAGAGGATGAAGCACCAGAATTATACTAGGGTTAGAAGGATAAAATCAAGAGCATAGATTGCTTTGAGTAGATTTATATTCTCTTGAATATCAAAGACCTAAGGGGTGATGTAATTGAGATCATGAGGTCATAGAGTCATGGAGTCATACAGCATGGAAACAGACCCTTCAGACCAACCAGTCCATGCCCGCCAATCTAAACTAGTCCCACCTGCCTGTGCTTGGCCCATATCCCTCCAAATATTTCTATTTATGTACTTATCCAAATATCTTTTCAATGTTGTAACTGTACCCTCATTCACCACTTCCTGTGTAAATGTACACATGTGTAAAAAAGTTGCCTCCTTTCTAAATCTTTCTCCTCTCACCTTAAAAATACAGTCCCAGTCTTGAAATCCTCCAGGAACAGACACCTGCCATTCACCTCATCTATACTCCTCATGATTTTATAAACCTCTACAAGATCACCCCTTAACCTCCAATGGTCCAATGAAAAAGTTCCAGCCTATCCAGTCTCTCCTCACAATCCAAACCCTCCATTCCTGGCAACATCTTGGTAAATCTTTTCTGAATACTCTCCAGCTTAATACTATCCTTCCTATAGAAGGGCAACCAGAACTGGACACAGTACTCCAGAAGAAGCCTTACCAAAGCCCCGTACAACATCAATATGGCATGCCAACGCCTATACTCAAAGGTCAGAGCAATGAAGGCAAGCATCCTAAATGCCTTCTTAACCCTACATGTGACGCAGACTTCAAAGAATAATATACCCCTATGTTTCTCTGTTCTACAACACTACCCAAGACCCTACTTTTAATTGTATAAGTCCTGTCCTTGTTTGTTTTACCAAAATGCAATACGTCGTATTTATCCGAATTAAACTCCATTTGTCACCTGTCAGCCCATTGACCCAGTGTTGGTCTGCAGACCAATTAGTTTCCCTACCACCTTTTCCCGTAATGATAGTTACTATTATTTTCTCCTACCTTCTGCCCCTTAATTTAGTAACTTTGGAATGTTATTAGTGTCCTCTACTGTGAAGACTGATGTAAAGTAGTTAGTCATTCCTCTGCCATTTTCTGGTTCCTCAATACTATTTCACCTGCCTCATTCTCCAAAGGCCCTTAGTTCACTATGGCCAATCTCTTTCTTTTCATACAGCTGTTTGAAATGTTTAAAGGAGTTGGTAAAGAAATTATTCTCTGAGTTGGGGGAAGAGCTCAGAAAAATAGGGGTAACCATTAAATTAGAGCTAGGCCATTCCAAAGAAAAACCAGCAAGCAGCCCTTCACACAGAGTCACAGAATTGTTCAAGCATGCAAGGAGACCGAGTCCCGCAGTGGAGCGGAGCGAACGGGCCGAGTCCCATGGCGGCAGTGGAGTGAGTCTTGGATGGAAGCCGGCACGTGGAGGCAGCATGGCCTCATGTTCTGGGGCCTGTGGGTATGGACTGGAACTTCAGTACTTATTGTCACTTATTTTCATTCTTGACTTTTTCAGCTGTTCCCATGCTAATCTATATTTTTTTTAATTCTGTAACAACACTATTTGTTTTTTACTCTGTAACTATACTTAAAAGTATCTGTACTTAGGTCCTCTGTACCTAAGATGGTGCTGAAAGGCGACATTAGAAACTTTTCACTGCACTCATTCAAGTGCATGGGACAATAAAGGCTATTCTATTCTGGAACCTCTTCAGTCCATTTGGTGTAGGAACACGCACAATGTTGTTAGAGAGGGAATTCCAGGTTTGACTCAGCAGCACAATTATATATTTCCAAGTCAGGGAGGAGTGTGACTTGGAGGGGTCTTACAGGTAGTGTTGTTCCCATGCATTGGCTGTCTTTGTCTTTCTGAGTGGTAGTGACTTTGGATTTAGAATGTGCTCTCTAAGGAACTTTGGTGAATTTTTGCAGTGCATTTTGCAGATTGCACACACTGCTGCTGCTGTGTGCCAGTGGTGCAGGGAGTGAATATTTGTGGATGTGGTGCCAATCAAGCAGGTTTCTTTGTGCTGGATGGTGTTAAAGTTCCTGAGTATTGTTGGAGTTGTCCTCAGCCAAGCAAGTGGGAGTATTCCATCACACTTTTGACTTGTGCCTTGTGGAGTCAGTAGGTAAGTGACTCCCTACGGATTCCGAGCCTCTGTCCTGCTCTTGTAGCCACAATATTTATATTCAGTTCAGTTTGTGGTCAATGGTTAATCCCCAGGATGCCTTTGAGAAAATACATACCAGATCACAGTGACTCATTGTGTAAAAAAAATTTTTCCTTATATATCCTCTGCTGCCAACTACCTTAAATCTGTTACTTTGGTTACTGATTGTCTTGCCCCTAGAAACAATTTCTCGTTATTTACAATAGCAAAACTCTTCATAATTTTGAACCAGTCTATTAGTCCTCAACTTATCTTCTCTGGTCAAGGGGAAAACAGGCAAATCATAAAGTCATACAGCATTGAAACAGACCCTTTGGTCCAACCAGTCCGTGCCAACCATAATCCCAAACTAAACTAGTCCCACCTGCCTGCTCCCGGTCCATATCCCTCCTAACATTCTCTATTCATGTACTTATCAAAATGCCTTTTAAACGTCCTCTGGAGGTTTACTCCACACACAAACCACCCTCTATGTGGAAAATTTGTCCCTCATGACTTCTGTAAATTTCACTCCTCTCACCTTAAAAACGTGGCCCCTAGTCTCAAAATCCCCTTCCTGGGGAAAAGACAACAACCATTAACCCTATCCATACCCCTTTTTTTTTTATAAACTTCTATAGGTTCGCCTTTTAACCTCTTATGCTCCAGTGAAAAAGCCCCAGCCTATTTAGCCTTTCTTTGTAACTCAAACCTTCCATACCCAACAACATCCTGGTAAATCTTTTCTGAACACTCTCCAGCTTAATAATATCCTTCCTTTAACTGGGCGACCAGAATTGGACACAGTATTGATGAAGAGGCCTCACCAATGACCTGTACAACCTGAACATGACGTTCCACCTCCTATACTCAAAGGACTGAGCAATGAAGGCAAGTGTGCCAAATGCCTTTTTAACCACCCTGTCTATATGTGTCGCAAACTTCAAAGAATTATGTACCTTAACCCCTAGGTGTCTGTTCTACAACATTACCCAAGGCCACACAATTAATTGTATAAGCCCTATGTTCCTCATTCCTGTCAGTATTCTATTAAGTCCTTTTCTCAGCCTCTGTAAGGCCTTAACGTCCTTCCTAAAGCAAATCATCTAGAATTCAACACAACACTCCAGCTGGGCCCTAACTGTGTCTTGCAACTCAAGCTCCTTCTTCAATCAAAACTGCAAACTCACATGGTCTACAAAGACTCTTGATTTAAAAAGAAAAATGTACATTACATCTCAATTTATGCAAAAATGAGATGTGTAAGCTATTGACAGGATCATAACTATTCCTTCCTTCCAAAGGATAGTCTACAAACAGCAAAGACAATTAAGGGAGAATCATCCATGATGGAAGCCCTTACACAGATGGAGAAGGCAGAGTGACACCCAGTGGGAGGGGGAAGACAAGGTGCAAGCTGAGGTGCCAAGAGAAGGTAATGAAATGTTATCATAGGTGGTCTTTGCCTTACACAGTTTGTGAAGGAATCCATTTTCTGGATATCCAGTTGTATCAGAGAAAACAGCATTCTCTGAGAATGTAGCATTCAGAGTACGCTCAGTTCCAGCATTTACTGGATAGTAACATTTTAATTCTGCCCTGCAATCGCAGGAGTCCTTATTGCCAGTTTTTTTTTAATATATCACACAGGACAGTTGGGTCATGGAAGAACACTTCAAAAATTTACAGACAGGGATTAAAGGACAGTCAGTAATGGAACAGAAATTTGTCCTCCATGTTAGAAGAGCTGGTTTGTAGGGAAGGTAACTGAATTACACCAAATCTGTGTAGTTGAGGACCCAGGGAAAAGGAAAGATTATACTTGGTGAAGCTAGCTGTGAGGGCTAGAAGAAGCTGCAAGCGTTAATACTTCAGTGCAGCTGAGAGTGGGGATTAAAAAGCCACAAGCTGTGTCTGAGCTAAGCAAGATTAGACCTAAAGAAATACATAGTAAAGTTTTAGCTTAGTGAAGCTAGCTGCCAGCAGAAAGCTGGAGTATGTGATATCTATGACAGCAACAACTTCAAGACATCAGTGGCTGCCAGACTAATGCTTTACAGTGGCCCTGAGGGCCTGACTAAACATTTCATTTTCACTGGATTTGCATGACCTATGCAGCCAGCTGTGCGCCCAGGAACTGCCAGGTACTGGCACTGATATTACTGTCTTTCCAGAGACTTATTCCTTTAAGCCCTATCCAAGCCCATGACATAAAGGAGCTTTTGGATCCCTGTTATTGCAAGTAAAGGGCCCAGGACCTGGCTTCCCTCAGACGGGAGTCACCTCATTCTCATACCATTTGACCTCATCCAACTCAAAGAGTATCTTGCAGGAATCCAATTCTGAATCTGTTTTGGCAGCTCACTCCAGAACTGTCAATTGACTCTGGGATGCTTGCCTTTCATGGCTGTGGTACCTTCAATATGTGCAACCTCTGACAGAGGGGTGTAGTGATGGGAAGTTGAGAAGGGAGGAAATGAAGGGAGACCAGGGCTCAGTCTCAATTGAAAACTGCAACATCATCTCAGCTGAGCAAAATTTGGAAACACTGAAACAATACAGACACAATTTCTGTTTCAGCAGCCCAGTTTTTCCGAGGTGGTGAGAAATTTATTGGTAATACAGACAATAAGTCGGAGTTCCTAACCTAGGGAAGCAGCATTCAGATTTGCACGTGAGCCCCAACTGAGAAAACCTGAACTCCAGTCCTGTTGAGTGAAGTGCAGCATGTTTGATAAGCATTCTGCCTTAGGGACATTCCGATTGTCACATCTGTTTTGGTTGGTTTGAAATACAATGTTCTCTGAAGCGTATGTAGGGCAGCTCTTGAGCCACAGGCCTGTACTGGTATAAATACAAATCTATAATGGCAATAACATCAGCTGTTATGTAACTTGCATTTTAGTGTTGTTGGCAGTTTTCCAAACAGTTGCCCATGAGTTCATGTAGATATTGACCCTGAGAACCCGTCAAAGCAAATAAATAACACAACAGTGACTATGAGGTATCGGGTGTGGCTTATGGTATTTACAAAAACTCCTAATCCCAGTGTCAATTAATTTAATGAGTTCAGATTTGTTATGTTCATTCTTCAATTGAAGTGTGAAAATTCTGGCATTAACAAGACTGATTTTCTGTGCATCTTCAGACTTGGATAGCCTGGAGCAATGCAGTTGAATGAGCTGGGAGGTAATTAAATGATTGAATTACTTATTTCATCCCAAAATTCCAGGCACAAGCCAATTTTAGTCGAGTATTGAGGCATTTCATTCTGATATAAAAGCACCATGTTAAAAAGCTTATTTGCATAGCAAGGTTGAGAGAAAATGTATTTGCCTCACAACTGAGAGCAATTCTTAAATGAAATTTAACCCAGACAAGAAAAAAGCTCATATTGTCCGTCCCATTGCCTCCAACCCCGATCTGTCAGGAAGGGACACTAGTGAACTCCCTCAATTCGTCAATAGGGGTCACTGATGTATGTGCTCACTAGCACCACTCACTGGCAGAGATTAGGGCTACAGCAGTCACAACTTCCAATTTTGCAGACATACACAGTTAATGTTACAGCAGCTCCTTGGGATGCTGTGCTTATTATCTATTAATTATACATATACTATCTATTAATTACACATTTGTTACAGGATCCTTAAATAAACTGCTTGCAGTCTTTCCCAAATGTAAGGCAAACAAATACAAAATACATTATGACATAAGCCAGGGCACATTTATTTGTCATAGGGCCATTTGACAGGATTTTTCATTCTGACCTAGTCTGACAGCTAGTTTTAAATAGTTCAGTTTGTCTGATGATTAGGGTTGCCACCTCTGAGTGGATATGTACCTGGAGGTTTCACCACATGATCTCCCTCCTCCAAGTGCCCCATCCAAACAAATATCATTTCCTCCATCTCGGAATTCTTGTACCCAATAAAGAGATGTTCAAAGAAAATTAATACCCCTCAGATTATCACCAAATTTATCCACCACAGAATCCAGGAGACTACCTTTAAATCTTGGAGACACGAAATGTTCCAGAAGGGCCAGCAACACCAATGATACAACACATCAACCTTTAATTTCTAAGCTATTCCTAAATATTGAAAATATGCTGATTGGGGATATGGTGCTTTACAGAGATGAGTTCAAACTACAAACCCTCCTTTCCCAGCAACCCAGAGCTTGAACCCAGCAATCAGGTGGATCACAGAGATAAAAAGATCTGGTATTACAACTGATGGAGTATACAGGCCACATGAGCTTGGGTGACGCTTGACTCTGAATACTTAAACTTGCAATGATCATATTTGCTATCTGTATAAACTTTGCTAAGATATTCCATGTGTAACTTGATTGCTGCTTGACTATGTTAAAACCTTGTACTGAACTTCAGTCAACATTCTCTCTGAAAAAAAATAGTAATACACAAACTGATTGTTTGAAGCAGTAGCAAAAATTTTCACTATCCCATTGACTCCCTTCAGAAGGAGGGGAAGCATCGTTACATTAACCATTCATTTTAACTCCTCTTAATGTAGCTTGTCTATTCAGATAGAATGCAGAGAGGGGACCACTTTATATTTTGGGAATCATATTCTGATTTTCCAGATGAGAGTCTGGAAAGAAGCCACATGGAATCACACACTTAGTCTGGTTCATGGGGTTTCCATTTCCTATTTGTCCATTATTCACTTTGGGGCAGTTCATTCCTCTGCTCTGATGCTTCTGTTCCAAACATTGCCATGGTTTCAGCTGCTTCAGTCATTCTTCTGGTGCCAAAGGAGGATAAACCGATACCTCCTACAGCAAGGAGCAGTGCAGAGAAGTTAATGAGTCGGTCAGTACTCTGAACTGTGGCCTCACCCGCAAGTTGCATCTGTGCAAAGCAGAAAACCACCAGTAAATGAGATGCCATAATTTCCCAAAAACTCCCTCTCCTTTCCAGACCAAGGAAGAACATTCCCCACTTGCCAGTTCTTTGCTAACAATTCCTATTTCCAAATATCTTTAGATAATCTTGATGAATTTCAACCTATCCCCAAAGCTTCGTCCATGTTATGAGCTGTTGACATTTTCAACTTGTAAATCGATACTTGTCATTTTAAAAACATTTCTTTCTGAAAATTTCCCTTCAGTTGTGACTCTCTTACACCCTCTACAAATATTTCTAATACCTTATCACCTTCCTTTGTAATGTAGAGAGATTCTTAAACAGCTGATATTACTTCCTTCTCAAGTGTAAAGTGGTTCCTTTATCCTTTGAGAGAGATAGTAGGAACTGCCGATGCTGGAGAATCTGAGATAACAAGGTGTAGAGCTGGATGAACACAGCAGGCCAAGCAGCATCAGAGGAGCAGGAAAGCTGATGTTTTGAAGGGTCCAGACCCGAAACATCAGTTTTCCTGCTCCTCTGATGCTGCTTGGCCTGCTGTGTTCATCCAGCTCTACACCTTGTTATCTCCTTTATCCTTTGACTATTTTGTTTATTTTCATTTCTTTTTAATGAGTTGTTCATGCTCCCTTTTGGTTTTCCTTCTGTTTTCTTCTACACTATGACTATTTAACTCTTGTTTTAAGACTCATTGTCCTCATAATCTATGAATCCCAGGCTTTGGCAATGCTTCTATAGCTGTAGGAGTGTATTTATCGTATGACTTTGCTGTCTCCTATTTAAATGTCCCCCTCCCTTTGTCCACTGTTGACTTGCCATTCTTCCTGGTCTGGGTCCTGTGTTCTCCCACTGACCTACCTCATTATCTCAGTGAGCAGGTTACTCAATTACTCCTTCCATCACTTCACTGAGGGCCATAAGGAGACTGAAGGTCTGAGGTTTGGCCAAATTGGATTTTTCTTGTTTTTTGATTTTGGTTAGGCCATGCTGGGCAATCTTCTTATTGTCAGGTAGATTCCAGTCTCAGAACCATAGTGGAACAGCTTGGGTCAGGGGAAGGACGAGCTCAGGTCCAGAACTACTGACAAGTCTTGGTTAATGAGGTGTAGAGCTGAATGAACACAGCAGGTCAAGCAACATTAGAGGAATCTGATGCTGCTTGGCCTGCTGTGTTCACTCAGCTGTACACCTTGTTATCTCAGATTCTCCAGCATCAGCAGTACCTACTATCTCTGACAAGTCTTGGTGTTGCCCAGAGGTCTCAGCCATGGAATGACATCAGTTATTTGGGGGACACTGGTTTTCAAGGTGGGAGTCCGGAAAGAAGCCAAGTGGAATCACACACTTAGTCTGGTTCTTGGGGTTTCCATTTCCTATGATCTGCCTGATGTTTACCATCATTCTCAAGTAGATGGTGGATCATTGCTCAGTTGGTTGAGGTCTGCTGCTTACCTGAAGGTAAGTTTACCTGGCACAGCTTTATACACTCCGTACTCTGCATTGTCAGCACTATGGTACAACATTTTCCTCCATTACAACTGTGACTACACTTTTAAAGTATTTAATTGGGAGTGAATGGGATAGTGATGGAGGGTTGCAGGAAGGGTCAGCAGAACAGATTCTTATCACCAGGATTTTCTTGTGATTTTCCCAGGAAAATGTGTTATGGACCATACTAAACACTGAGCATAGCTTCGTAAGGGTTAAAAACTAAACCACATGAGCCAGAAACAATGATGCAGTTTGGCAGTTGGGATGTTGGTTTTAATATTTAATTTGTTCCTTATATAACGGCCGCTGATTTTAATCCATTGAGATTCCAAATCAGTGAAGTGAATGTACAAAAACATCCAGCTGTCACTGCAGGCCAAGTGAAAGAATCTAGCAAAAAAAAATGCCACTACCCTCCGTCTGTCAACAACCTCCCCGCACACCATCCCCCCACCATTGGTTCTGCCCTTCCCCCTCAGTACTTGCCTCTCTACTACCAGGATTTTCTAAAATTCCATGAATGATTCTAATTTCCGCTCCCTGCATCCCTTGTCCACTGTAACTCTGGCTGTTGTTAGTGCCACGGGTACTGGGAACATGACAATGCTTCAGTTAACAGGGATTTGCATGCAGCGAGTGTCAGGAGTTAGCTAAGCCTGTTTGTGACCACTGCATCCACACTTCACCCCCTCCATTAAAATCTTTGGAGAAAGTCATCTGGCATGATGTTCCTGACCTGAATAAGGAAACGGGAAAGGTCATGGCCTGGGAATAATTGGAATTTTCCAGCCAACGGCCACAGCCATGGTAGACTAAATGACTTCCTTCTTATTATTAAATTCCTGGTCAGGGCTGAATCAGGATATTGCAACAAAGATGATGATTATGTTGCCAAGTTATCGTCAGCATTTCGGTTGGGGGCAGGGGGACCATTGTGCTGTTTAGTCACCCCTCGTGACAAATGTGCACCCTGGTACTGGCTAAGGGTCAGGAGCCACTGTCATGCTGTTCCTGGTGAGTTGATTTGCGAATATACTCACTGTTACTTTCACACAAGAATGCAAAGGATTTAAGTGAGTGAGTGGTGGCGTGAACTAAAGCCCAGCATATTCAGGAATCATAATTGATTGATGGAAAGAGGTAAAAACACTGAAGTGGGGTGAAGGGAGAGAAATGCAAACAGATAGGCAGGAAAGAAGGGAGAGAAGGAGCAAGATCAAAAGGGAGAGGAGGTAAGAGAGAAATGGAAAGATTTATATAGAGAAAGGAACTAGAGGGAGGAGGAGTGAAAATGATGAAAGAGCAAGAGGAAGAGAAGAGGAGCAGGTGATGCACAGACAGAGAGACACTGACTGTTCTGTAACCCTGATGATCACAGGCATGTTGGATAAAGAGGTATTTAATAGAATGTGATACTGGGTCATTGACTGGTTACAGCCCCAGAAAACAAATGCCTATTTGAGACAGTAGATTTGAAGATCAGCTGTAACAAAGTCCATCCAATCTTCAGTTTAAAGATTTAAATAGAGGAAAGATGAAATTTTTATCCAAAAAACTTCATCAGTTAAGCAGTTTCATCTGCACAAACTGATATCTTGTTAGTGACTGTGAATTAATTTCAATGCATGTTAATGTCATGCTGTATTACTGACTATTTTACATACAATTTACAAATCAAACTAGTCATTCAATCTAAATTTTTTTTATGCTTCCCTTTCACTTTATTTAATTTCATTGTTTGGCGTATCCTCCTGAATTCCTTATTGGATTTCTTAAGTCTTATTTGTTATCTATAATGTAAAATATATATTTCTACATTGACCAATCAGATCATCCATTAGTCATGTCTTTTCTAGAGAAAACCATTCAAGCTGTTTAATTTTTTTCTGGTAGTTGCAGTCTCTCAGTACCTTATATTTATTTTATGTTATATTATATCCTATATTTTTGCTTTGCAATTTCTCCATCCTTTCTACATTCATTTTGTAACATAACAATCAGAACTGTACACAGTGTTCCTTACACTCCTAACAAAGGTCCCTTGTTTAAGATAGAATTGAAAAACAGGGAACCTATTCCACAAATAAAAGTACCCCAGTACTTTCTTTGTTTTTTGCCCTGTAAAGCAGAGTTATTACTTTTAGTCATGTAAATCTGTATCCTGGATCCCCTTGCTCCTCTAGTCCACTTAGGCCCTTCTTTCCCAAAGAAACTTGGCCTCCACATTCTTCTTTAACAAAATGCATGACCTCACACTTACTTGTATTGAATTTAATTTGCCAATTACAGACCCATTCAGCAAGATAATTGATATTTTCATGCATATTGTCCCAAGTTTCATTAGTATTTACCATAATCCAAAATTTGAGGTAACCTTCAAATTTTAAAATTGTCCTTCCAATTTCTGAATGCGTATCCTCATTGTAAATGGTAAGCAACAAAGGTCCCAGCACTAATCCCTGTAGAACACCACTTTCCACCTTTTGCCAGTCTAAGTAACTACTTCTGACCCCTTATTTTTGGATTTGTATCTGGCTGGCTATCCACTCCTGCTAATAGTCCCCTCACATAAGTCAGCTATACAAAGTAAAGGTCGCCATAATCCCAGAGGACAACTGTCTCATTAGAGAGTGAGAGATGACCAGTGGTGAGTTTAACCCAAGTGTCACCACACCATAGCCGAGGGCAAGGTTGAGAAGGTGGGATCTTCATGGTAGATTCAGCCAGGACGGAAATTGAACCCATGCTGTTGGTGTCACTTTGATCACAAACCAGCCATCCAGCTAACTGAGCTAGCTGACACTCAAAGGTCATTTGAAACCCAAATACATTACATTTACTGCTTTACCCTCATCTCTACTTTCAGTTGCTTCACACTGTGTTATTGTCTGAATGTCACAGCGTGTTACCATGCAAAGACCACTGCTTGTAATTGTTTGAATGCCACTGCATGTAATCCTGCGTCTTTCCCTGCATATTCCCCAATTTAATTAAGGAAGTTCTACTAACCTGTAATAGCCGGAAATAATTGGGAGTTAATCTGTTCAGTCGAAGTATCATGTCCGAAGGCAACATAAGAATGGCACTTGGTTATAACAAAAGCAGCGTGCAATTCAAATATTCCTAGTATGAGAGGAAGACTCCACGCTATTGGCAGTGCAGTTACATCCCAGTAAGATGACTGGTCCTGCCTGATGGAGTAGAGTGTAGCACAGCCTCCGATCTGACTGGATGCTTATGATGACTAGCTGTAAAGAGCTTTTTATACCACGCTTCTTGCACTCGGTGATGTCATTGAGCTGTTGAGCCGTCTGTCAAAAGGCATCAGCGTTATATGTTCAGGATATGTATTCGCTTCACCAAGTCCCAGACGCAGACGCATCAACTCTCTCTGTGATCACTGCACTGACAGGACCTGCCTTGGGCTGAATGAAAACAATACAGCTTCAGCAATGTCCCCAACCTCAATATGCCCTGCCAGAAAACTTAGGACTTTCGGGATGGCCCATCTGTTTGGCTTTCCCCCTTCAGTCCCTAGTTAACTGCACTCACCCCACTGTTATTCCACTGGTATCACCACTTGCCATTGCCCCCAGTGCCTCAGTCCTCAGATACCAGCACACTTCCCCAAACCTTGTAACCAGCACTCACTTTTACCCCTTTCTCCTCTGCTCCCAGCACTCAACCTTGTCCCGGATACCAACACTCACCCCACCCTTCACACCTTAGGTTGCCAGCATTTACCCTCAAACTCCAGTCACCAGCACTTATCCCTTCTCTTTACCTGTCCCTATTCCAGAAACCAGGGAGGTGATGGTGTAGTGATAATGCCATTAGACTTATAATCAGAACACCAGGCTCATGCTCTGTGGAACATACACCCACCATGGTAGATGGGAAACTGGAATTCAATAAGAATCCGGAACTAAAATGTTTGTCTAATGGCAACCATATAACCATTGTTGGTTGACCAAAAAAACCCTTATGCCCTTGACTGATGTCCTTTAGAGAAGGAAATTGCCGTTCTTACTTGGTTTGGCCTACACGTGACTCCAGACCTACAGCAATGTAATTGACTCTTAACTGTCCTGCAAGCAATTAGGGATGGGCAATAAACATTAGGCTAGCCAGCAACACTCACATCCCATGAACAAATTTTTTAAAAATCTCAAACCTCTCCCTCCCCCCAGTCCCCACATACTGATACTTAGCCACGCTTTCAGTTCTTTAATCATCTGCATTCACCTCTGTCCCAGCTCTTCACCCAATTGTCAGCAATCAAATGCTACCCCCAGTTATCAGCAATTGTGCATGCCCCTGCCTCCTTTCAGTTTGAACATTGTGTAACCAAAATAGTTGACTGCACCAGTGATGGTCCAGCTATCGTCAAATTAAAGCAATTGAAATTCAGGACATGTTGAAACAGATGCTTCAAAGCAACATTTAGGAACGATAAAATGCTGGGAAAAGGTGGAGAGGTAGGTCTCTAAATTAATGATGATATTAGCAAAATAGGGCGGGATTTTCTAAGTTTGGGAAACAAGGATATGAAAGTGGTTTGAGCAGAGAAGTGAAATGACAAAGGCAAGAAGTGACTTGTGGGAGTGGTGTTTTGGACCCTTAATAGTAATCACATTCTAGGATGGAATATAAGGGAAGCAATAATGGGAGCTGGTCTAAAGCATATAGTAACAATCACCACGACTTTTATGTTCTTACAGACTGGAAAGATTAGATGGGTTAAAGTAGCCTTGATGCAGAGTTCACAGAATATTTTGGGATACTTTCTCATAACTTCACATGCTGGAGCCAACCAGGGAACAGGTTGTATTGGTGCTACAGACTATATTAATTAGTGAAAGTACTCCCTAAGTAGCAGTAATCATATGATTGAATTATACATTCAGTTTGAGGGATAGAGCTGTGGATCAAAACTAGTATTTTAAATTTAAATAAGGGTCATTAAGAAGGCTTAAAAGCAGAGTTAGCTAATGAAAACTGGCAAATTAGAATAAGGGACGGGTCAGAGATGCAGTGGCAGACTTGTTTTTTAAAAAATTGATTAATAGGATGTGGGAGTTACCAAGCCAGCATTTCTTGCCTAACCCCAACTGCCCTGGAGAAGATAATGGTGAGCTTCTTTCTTAAACCACTGTGGTCTTGGGGTCCACAATGCTGTTAGGAAGGGAGTTTCAGGATTTTGACCCAGTGACATTGAAGGAATAGCAATGTAGTTCCAAGTCAGGATATTGTGTAGCTTGGAGAGGAACTTTCAGGTGATGGTTTTTATATGCATTTGCTGGGCTTGCCCTACTAGATGGTAAAGATTAAAGGTTTAGAAGGTATGTTAAAGGAGCCCTTGGTGAGTTGCTCCAGAGCAATTTGTAGGTGCTGCATACTGCTAATATTGTATGTCATTGGTAAAGGGAGTAATGATTGAAGGTGATGGATGGGGTCCCAATCAAGCAGGCTGCCATTGAATGTCAAGGCACAATGGTTAGCTTCTGTCGTGTTGGAGAAGGTTATTGCTTGGGACTTGTGTGGAGCAAATGTTACTCACCGCTATTAGTCCAACACTGGATGTTGTTCAGGTCTTGCTGATTGCTTCAGTATCTCAGGGCAAGTAATTGATGAAGCAGCTGAATGAAGATGTTGGCCCTAGGACACTATCCTGACACACTCCAGCAGTGATGACAAGTTACAGGCAGAAGCTTGTAGAAAAGGAGATTGAGAATAGGTAGCCATCCTCCAATTCTTTGTTACTTCTCTGCAAAGAGAAAGGATCTTGGCTTTGTAAAGGTCTGGAGGCTTGTCACACTGATAATCCCTGACCCACCCAACTGTCCTGATTGTTTTTTGAATCGACAGGCTATCACTGGGCAAAGCTGCCCTAAACATATAGCCACAGTGATGCTGAGTCTTCAGCATCTTCCTCACAGCTTGAGCAGACAGCAGTGTCAATACAACTCACAGTGAAATGTTAACTAATTTTAAAACTGTGATATCTCTTTTCATAGTCCTTGGTTTAAAGCAGTATCCTATCCCACTTTGGTCCACAATCTAAAATAAAGTAAAATTTTAAAAATGTATGTAGGTAAGTAAGTTGTGAAGAAGTTACAAAGGAATATAGATAGGTTAAGTGAATGGACAATGATCTGATAAATGGAGTATAATGTGGGAATATGAAATTGTCCATTTTGGCAAAAAGAATTAAAAAAACATTTAATCCAAATGGTGAGAAATTGCAGAGGGATCTGGGTGTGTTTGTTCATTAATCACAAAAGGCTTATATGCAGATACAGCAAGCAATTAGGGAAATTGGTAGAATGTTATTAAATTCAATTTCCCTTGTAATGAACAAAGTAGAGAGGTTTTGTTTCAATTTTACACAGCATTGGCGAGACAACATCTGCAGTATTATGTAAGTTATTTAAAGAAGAATGTAAATACATTCGAAACTGTCCAAAGAAGGTTTACTAGACTAATACTTGGAAGAGGCGCCTTTTCTTTTGAGGAAAAGTTGGACAAGCTAGGCTTTTATCCGATGGATTTCAGAAGAGTAAGCGATGACTTAATTGAAACACGAAAGATACAGAAGGATTGTGATAGTGCGCTTGTGAAAAGAATATTCCCTGTTGCAGGAGGATCGAGAACTAGGGGTCACTGTTTAAGAATGTGAAGTCACCCATTGAAGACAGATGAGGTAAAAATATTTTCTTACAGAAGATTGAGTGTGTTTGGATCACATCCTCAAAAGGTAGAGCTTTTGCACATTTTTACAGAAGAATTAAATTATTGAAAAGAAGTGAAAACTTATTAGGGTAGGCAAAAACACGGAGCAATCAGATCGCTTCAAGACTTTACTGAATGGCATAGCAGACTTGAGGGCCAAGTGACTTCTGCAGCAATTTGTATGATTGTAGGTAAAATGGAGTTGTCAGTGGGTGGGGGAGTTGCTCTGTAGACAGTCAGATTTCTCTTTTGTCCACAGTTCCAGAAGCCTACTCCCAAATCTGACATGGGAAAATATAAAATAAAAACGAGGAATGAAGCAAGATGATGGCCTCATTCATACAACTATTGCCCAGGAGAGTCGATGACCTAGTGGTATTATCGCTGGTCTGTTAATCCAAAGACCCAGATAATGTCCTGGGGACCTAGGTTCAAATCCTGCCATGGCAGATAGTAGAATTTGAATTCAATAAATTTCTGGAATTAAGAGTCTAATGGTGACCGTGAATCCATTGTTGATTGTTGGGGAAAAACCTATCTGGTTCTCTAATGCCCTTTAGGGAAGGAAACTGCATCCTTACCTGGTCTGGCCTACATGTGACTCCAGATCCATGGCAATGTGGTTGACTCTTAACTGCCCTCTGGGCAATTAGGGATAGGCAATGAATGCTGCCTAGCCAGTGACGCCTGCACAGACCATTATAAAAAGGTCCAGTTCCCACAACCCTCTACTCCCTTATCAATCCAAATCTGAATACATTCAAACCTGGGTTAGACAATGGCCTATCATTTACTGGATGTTGGAGAGAAAATTCCAAATACTGAAGAATTTCAAGAAATTCCTCCTCATCTTTGTTTTAAATAAGAGAAATTCCATGTTTTGTATCTATGCCCCTCATTCTAGTTCTCCCATTAGGGAGAATTCTGTCAGCACCCACCCTATCAAACCCCCTCAGAATTTCATGTTTCAATAAGATCATCACTCATACTTCTAAATTCCCTTTCATTCATCCCAGGAATCATCTAGTGAATCTTCCCTGAATTGCCTCCATTGCAAGTATGTCCTTCCTTAAGTCAGGAAGGTGATTATAACTGCATATAGTATTTTAACTGTGATCTCACCAATGCCTTGTACAATTATAACAACACTTGCACATTTTTATACTCCATCACTCTTGCTATGAAGGCCAAAATTCAACTTGCCTTCTTAATTACTTGCTTCATACCTACATTGTGATTTGTGTACAAAAACACTTAACTCACTCTGTACTGCAGAATTCTGCAGTTTTTCTCCATTCAAAATAATACTCTGCTTTTCTATTCTTCCTGCCAAAGAAGACAACCTCATATTTCCCATATTCCATACTCCATCAAACAAATTTTTCTTCACTTACTTTAACCTATCTGTATCTTCTCCACAACATGCTTTCTTACTCAAGTTTGCATTGTCAGTGAATCTGGCTACCTTTCAAACATGATTTCCCTTTCACAAAACCATGTTGGTTATCTAATTGTATTACATGTCCTGCTGTTAACTTTTTAATATGGATTTTAGCATTTTTGAAGACAACTAGCTCAACTAGTGTCAACTAGCTCATAGTTCCCTGCTTCTCCCATCTTTCATAACCAAGGGTGTTATGTTTCCAATTTTCCAATCCTCTGGAACCTTTCCAGAATCCCAGAAATTTTGGAAGATTACAACCAATGCATTAACTTTGCAGCCACTTCTTTTAAAACTGTAGAGTGCAGGTCATCATATCCAAAGGTCTTGCCAGTCTTAAATCCTATCAATATCCCCATTATGTTGTTTCTGGTGATAGTGATTGAAATCCTTGTTGCACTTACTAAGAAAAATCTATTTATATTAGCTAAAATTCTGCAGAGATGAGTCAGCATTGCAGGCTAGAAAAACCAGTTCTAACTACATCATTAACTATCTGCAACTCCCAGTTCAAAACAAGAAATTATAGTTAAATGCAAAATATAACAACTAGATTTCAGAAAAAGAGAAAAACCCTGAACATTATCTCTCTGTCTCTTCATGGACCAGATGTCCAAATTCTCGATATCTTGAGTTGCACTTAGTGGTGAGTAACTCACCATCTTCCCAAATTGACAAGAGGTTACATCAATTCTCCTTGAACTCCTCCTTCTGTCACCAGTCCATGTCTGAGATGAGTTGCACCTACTGAGGTCTCGGTGACTATAGATTAGCACCCTCCGCCCCAAGCAAACTGTCTCTTCATTGGGTTGGGGCTCTGAATGTTGCTCAGCCTATACAGTCGTGGTGTTCAGACATTGTGTTTTGCTGGTTGTTCATCAATAAGCCAGTCCTACTTTTCCTGCGATAACCATTTACACTGGAGTGAGCACAAGCAGTGAGGATCTATTTCATTCATCCACAGGTGCTGAGGTCAAGAGTCATTCCCCATGCTGAGGAACCCAACTCAACACAAAGTGCGGTGGAACTTGGACTTTAATACTTTGCATGGCATAATAGACCATCATTGAACTGTGCCAGTGTCTGGCCCCCTCATAACCTCCCATGCTGTGTGTGAAAATAGCACATGTAAAATTCCATTAGTGAAGCAACCCTTTGCACTCATGGGAACAAGAAGAGTCTATTCAGCTCCATAAACTCCAGGACAATTCACAGGGTCCTGATAAGAAAGGCTAAAGCCAGAGAATTTCAGCATTTGAGGAGGTGGTGAAGATAATCTGGAATCACAGAACAGCACAAGCATAAGCCGTTTGGCTCACCACACTTGTACCAGGATTTTAAAAATAGCTATCCAATTAGTTTCATCCCTCTGCCCTTTTCACAGACCTCTGCAGATTTTTATTTTCAAAATGTCCACTTACTTTGCTTTTAGCAGCTGTTCAGAGATTCTATTCCTACCACCGATCAAATGTTCCAATAAACTGCTGTATAAAATATATATATATTTACCCTCTCCTGTTTTAAATTGTGCAATGAGTTCAAGCTGTTACCTAATTGTCAGCTCACTCAAATTAAAAACAAAATTTGGAACAACCCTTCAGGATTTCAGTGACATTCCCAAACAAAGCCTTCCAGAATCTCTGTACATCCCAGTCACAACCCTGCAGCATCTCAGTGTAGTACATTCCCAAAGGACAACACTGGCTGCTCCACAAGTGCCTCATGGACTGACTTCGGCAGGCATTCTATGAAAGGTGCTATATAAATGCAATTTTTTTTTGTTTCATCTTAACTTTCTCTATTCTAATGAAACAAGCCCAAATTTATCTGCTGTTTCCTCATAATAGAAACTACACTTAACCTCATGATCATTTTAATGAATCTCTTCTTGTCTTTCTCTACGGCATTGACATTCTTTCTAAATGAAGGTCAGCAGCAACCTGCTCAATGATGTCTTTACGGGTTTAAAGATGCCTCTTTGTTTTTGTATACTATGTCTCTGTTTATAAAGTCTAGAATTCAATATTGTTTCTAATAGCTTTAACTGCCCATCAGTTCCTGACTCCTAAAGTACCTTTTATTTTCACTCAAAGAAAAAAAACCCTTCAAAATAGGAGCTAAACCCCAGAATCATTGAAGAAACAGCAGGAGCTCGATGCTGGGACCTGTCTGGGTGGATGAATGAAAGTGGACCAAATAGACTAAGTAAATATTTTGTGATTCCAAGTATTGGAGTTTAGAATCCTTTGTTAATGACTAATCTGCCAGTCCAGGGGATGTGAAAGATTCCATGAGGGGGGAGCTCACCCAGTGTCTGGTGCAGCAGTATTTTCTCAACTAACATCCCCAGACTATCCCACAGATGCCAGTGAGATGGAAAGTGTGTACAAAATGATAGTTATGTCCACCAAACTAAGAAATGACTGCACCTCAAACCATTCATTGTACTTGAACTGATGTCAGACGTTTTGGCAAGGAGTTAATAGAAAGCAAACAGATTCTATGCCATCTAGTTGACAAAACAGGGACAAAAACAAGGATTTGATGCTTGAATTTTGCACCTATGACTACCCTCAAATATCAAGTTTTCATCTCCAAGTTAATATTGACGTCATCATACTCCATCCCCACCACAAAGTATAGTCCTTTCTAGGCCCACTGCTTGAAGCTGAAAACCATTGTTTGCAATCTGACCCCGTATCTTCTTCCCCATCATGAAGATTGCCTACCTTTACCTCTGTAACATCATCCATCTACACTCTAGCCTTAATTTGTCCGCTGCTGAAACCCTCATCTGTGCCATAGTTACATCCAGATGTGACAATACCACTGTTCTCTTGCTGGCCTCCCAGCTCCCATTGTCCACAAATGCATCCAAAACTTTGGCCACATCCTAACTGGAACCTGGCCTCATTTACCCACCACCTTCTTCTAGAGTCAGAGTGTGTGGAAACAGACCCTTTGGTCCAACTCGTGCTGACCTGACATCCCAATCAGACCTAGTCCCATTTGCCAGCATTTGGCCAGTATCCCTCTTAAAGCCTTTCTATTCATATACCCATCTAGCTGCCTTTTGTTCAGTGATCTGTATGGCTCCTGGTCCATCCACACCTCAAATGTAAAAAAAAATCTTCAGGGCTGTCTGTCCTCCCTATCTCTGTAACCTTCTCAAACTTTGCAATTTCCCTGAATTCTCAGTTTCTTTGGCTCTGGCGTTTGTACCTCCTTAACTTCCTTCTCTTCACCACAGAAAAAGCTGTAGAATTCCCTTCCCAAAACTCTCTGCCTTTCTTCTCATTTAAAACCATCGCGATCTGCCTGATCCACTCCCAAAATCTCTTTTTATCTCACCACTAATTTGTTTGATTACGACTTTAATTACACATTCTGGGATCTCTTTTCTGTATTTAAACGTTATTTTAAGCAAGTTGTTGTTTAACGAACTGCAAACTCGTGTTGAGTTTGTTGAGCTGTTGATTACACTTTGAATTCTCACCTCATTGGGCAATTAGACAATCTCTTAATTACTTATCGACTGTCAATCGGACGCGATCCGCCTTTTCCTTGGCCACTTTCTGACACGGAACTAAGTTGAAGACAAAACCAAAAACCCCGACTATTTTACTGCCGCGAATGGAGCAGGAACGAGGTCTCATGCTCTGCTCCTATGATGCTGCTTGGCCTGCTGTGTTCATCCAGCCCTGCACCTTGTTGTCTCGGATTCTCCAGCATCTGCAGTTCCTACTATCTCATATTCAATTATCATTTGGTTATGAAGTAGTTTGGGACACCTTGCATGTGCTTTGGCGATATATAAATGCAAGAACTGTCTTTAAATATAAATTCCGCCTCTTAAGACTTTTATTATATAGCCTCCTCATTTGCAATGTACGGCTGGATGACAGTTGCTAAAGTTTGTTTCCTTTAACGTTTTTCACATTTGTCTGTTCGTCAGAATCCCGGTTTTTGTCTTTCTGTGGCCTCTCGGAGCTAATCCAGCTTTCCGCATTAACACGATCTGTAAAACTATACAGAACAGCAAAACAAAACCAAAACGTAGAAACTTACAACATGAGGCAGTCAATGAGCGAACAGTCCGATTGGGAAACAGTACCATGGCGAGGCAAAGCCGGAGATACTCCCCGCCCGCTGCATGTTACCAGCGGCTCTGCTCTTAGTTGGAAAGACAATATCTGCTCAGACAGATGAGAATCCAGTTATGTAATTCTGGGTCTTGACACAGATTGACCCTTAGGTGCTTTTCGTCGGTTAGACTCAATATTACTCGAGAGTATATTTACCCAATGCATCAGCTCTAGGAGACCATAATCCACATGGTACTGAAACACAGACTGAGTGCACTTCACTTCTGATCACTGAATAGCGATAGCCCAGGAACCCAGTCGATTTAATATCTCCTAGAAAGTGAGTTCTGACGAAAGCTCACAGATGTGGCCTGACTTGCTGAATACTTTCAGCACCTTCTGTTTTAACAGCCTGTATATTTCACAAACTCTGCTCCTAAATTCTGCTACTTCTAGAGATTTTCCTTTCACTGTTCTGCGACCAGCTCTACAATAAATACTGCTTTGATTTTAAAAAGTACAAACTCTCCTTTCGGACTGGTTGCTGTCCGAATGCCTGGAGCTGCGAATTTAGATGTGAAATAAGCAGGAACACAGCACCAGGGACTGGCTGGATCAAGAGCTCAGTCACGCGGCTTAATCCCAATCTCAAATGCCAGCTGGTTAAGTAAACCATGTCATTCTCTTGTAAAGGCTTTTTCAACATATAAAACTGATGAATTCGTTTCCTGTTTGTTGCCGAAATACTTGACGTAATGATTCAAATTCACTTGAAGAACTTCAGTAACAAGATTGTCAATATTGCGTTAAAAATTATGCTTTTCCCCCCTTTTTCATAACAGTTTTCATAACAAATAGGCGGCGAAAGCATTAGCAGAATTGGAGCAAATTAATAGGGGATGGGTGTCTATGTCCAACAGAAAACTTATCTGTGGTGGGACGGAATGGGGAACTTGATACAATTTCCATGTATTTTTTACGTCTTTGGCCTGTTTAAATTATTTGTGCGCTATCACACGCAAAGTCAACTTCAGTTCTCTCTGCCATCACCAACTGAAGTAGTTGGGCATTCTGCTGGCAGAACAATCGGCAAATGTTTGATTTATTTTCCGTCACACTGCTGAATGGATCATTTCGTAAAGATCTGGCGCCACCTGGCGTTTTACTGGGAAGGATGGTGCCTAAATCAGGCGGAATTTTTCTAAACTGCACTCGCACTACGTAGCACGGAACAAGTTTGACACTCCCTCACTACGGGACTCCTTCACCACATTGAGGTGTGTTTAATGCACGTTTTAACACAGTAAAGGTGAAATCGCCATAGTCCTATTAGATAGACACGGCTGGTGTTGATTTAACCGGAGGGCCACCACACCCCATGTGAGGGGAGACTGGTAACCTCAGCAGGTGTAGGAATTTAACCCATACTGCTGACGTTACACTATATTGCAAACCGACCGTCCAGCCAAATGAGCTTCACACAAAAATAGCAATGGCTGGATTACCAAAAGTGTGGTAAAAACTAAAACCATCTTTAGCCCCCGGCTACTTCAAACAGGCTGGCTGCTTAGTTGTAGGCACAATTAACTCTACAGGAGGGAGAAAGGAAGAGAAGAATGAAAAAAAATCCCTAAAATTTATTGTAAGAAACCAAGGACGTAAAAACAATCTCTCACTACATGTGTATAATTAAACAGAGCTGAAGAATACAAAAAGACCAAGAGAAATACATGGGGACTGCAGCATGTTCTCCATTCTGTTATAAAGTCATTGAGATATACAGCCCTTTGGTCCAACTCGTCCAGATATCCTAAATAAATCTGGTCCCATTTGCCATCATTTGGCCCATATCCCTCTAAACCCTCCATATTCCTATACCCATCCAGATACATTTTAAAATGTTGTAATTGTAAATATTTACCCTATCCATGTTCCTTGTGATTTTATAATCCTCTATAAGATCACCTGTCAACCTGACGCTCCAGAGAAAATAGCCCCAGTCAAGTCAGCCTCTCTCTATAGCTCAAACCCTTCAACTCTACCAACATCCTTGTAAATCTTTTCTGAACCCTTTCAAGTTTCACAACATCCTTCCTTTAGCAGAGAGAATTACACACAGTATTCCAACTGTTCTCTTGAATTGCTGTGCACTCAGCTTCCTGGTCCCCCAATTACTCATTGTCTTTACTCCAGCTGTTTGTTCATTCCTCCACCACCCCACATAGATCAAAATCATGATCACTGTTATTGGTTCTGGATGAGCGGTACTCAATTAAAAATCAAAAAGATATTTGCATGTGACGGTGAGATATTATTCTCAAAGTGTGGTCTCTCTCCTGTAGACCATTCCAGGGACTCTAGACAGAGGCACCAAGAATGGCCAGTGTCAGTGGAACCAAGAGCCAGTGGCTTTATATGTGAACAGAGAGGTAGATGACCCCAATCCCAAGCATAACAGTATTCAACTTTATTTGGGTAGCAAATTTAAAACTCCATGATACTCAGCAAAAATAGGATCAATGTCAGAAGAGTCTGTTAAAACACATTCCAAAGAATATTTTCACTTTAAAACAGCATTTTAAAAAAGTTTCATTTTTCAATTGTGAAATTGCCAAGCAAGAGAGTTCTGATTTCACATGGAGAGCAAAAATTGCCACTAACAGTTACTGACATTACAGATACAATTTTAACTGATAGCACAAGTAGGAAACAGTCACATTTAGGGATACAGAGGGGGAGAAAAACAAAAAAAAATGTTTAATCTCAAGCACTTTCAATGTGCAGCATGTCAGTACACGAAGTCTCCAGAAAATAAAAACACACTGCAAGCATCCGCAACATCTGCCCACTCAACCTACAAAAATGTTGCATTTATAAAAATTGATAAAAATATTCCTTTCAACTGTACAAGTGACAGGAGGTTGACAAACTCTCCAGACTTGGACAAGACTTTCGCCCACCAGCATTTTTCAATTCTCATGCCTGTAAAAAGGAAAAGAAAACCATTTTGATTAATTTTGAAATTCAATTTTTCCAGATGACCTCGCTGGTGAGATTTCATTGTAGTGTGACTGTTTACACAAGAGGACAACTAGATTAAGTCTTTGGGCACAGCTCTCTCAAACCCTGTAACTGCATGGGTACTGGATACCCTACTAACTTGTCCACGTAGTGAGTGGCATCACTACCAAAGTTCAATCCTGTCATTAGGAGACATCCTCACAGACACACCAGGAGTCACCCAAACATACCTGACGTTGAGTTCGGGGAATGAGGTTCAATATAGAATTTGAACTGAGAAAATTCCAGGAGTCAGAATGGAAACATTCTGCTCTGTACAGCTCCACTACTAAGCAAATTTTAAAAAAATTAAAACACAGTTTTTGCAGGAGTGTTAGCTAACTAGGGATGGCCATCATTGCCCATTTTGCAAATATTCATCAGATGACTACTTCCTGAAGAAAATTAGTTGATACAGGTGAAATTAGATAGATCCTAAAAGCAGCCCTTTAACAACTGTAAATTTAGATCAAAGGAAGGTCTCAGCAATTCAACTCCAGAATCCTGTACATGGTTCCAATGATGGGTGACAGTAGAACTGCAGGCTTTTACCTCTTTATTCTCCCCATTTTGAGCTGGGGCAGCATTAGCTTCCTGGCTTGAATCACTCGTCTTCCCTTTGGTGACCTTTTGTTTCTTGGCCTTCTATGAGAGAGAAATAACAAACCATTCAAGACAAAAGTGGCATTCAACATTTTAACATGTGAGGCATGGCCTGGAGGTAATGTCACTAAAAATCCTGAGATCCAAGCTGATGCTCTGGGGATACAGGCTCAAATCCAACCATG